ACCCTCAACACCTTCCACTACGCCGGCGTCTCGGCCAAAAACGTCACCTTGGGCGTCCCCCGCCTGAAGGAGCTCATCAACATCTCCAAGAAACCCAAGACGCCGTCGCTCACCGTCTTCCTCCTCGGCCAGAGCGCCCGCGACGCCGAGCGGGCCAAGGTGGGGACATCGTGGGGAACACCGTGGGACGTCACGGATGGGGGGAGCGGAAGGAACTTGGGGCCTGGGGTTTCTTTGTCCTGCGTTGGGTGGGGATGGTCTCAGGGTGGTCCCTTGGCTTCATTTTCCCGTGGTGGCCCCGTGAATTTGTGTCCTTGCCACGTTCACGGAGCCCTGGGGTGGCCCCATGGCTTCATCTCCCCATGGTGGCCCCATGACTTCATCTCCCCATGGTGGCCCCATGACTTTGTGTCCCCACGGCTTCGTCTATCCCCCTGTCTTCCACCCTTTCATCCCCACGTCACCTTTTGTGTCCTCCACGTCCTCCCTGTGTCCTCCGTACCTGGATCTCCATGCCATCTCCTGCGTCCCCATGTCCTCCATGTTGTCCCCACGTGCTCCATCCCCAGTTCCTCACGTCATCTCCCACGTCCCCGTGACCTCCGTGCCATCCCCGTGTCCTTCACCCCCACGTCCCTGTGTCATCTCCCACACCCTCCATCTCCGTGTCTTCCATCCACGTCATCTCCCACACCTTCCATCCCCACGTCCTCCACCCCCGTATCCCCGTGCCATCTCCCACGTCCCCATGCTGACACGGTGTCCCACCCCCCAGGACATCCTGTGTCGCCTGGAGCACACCACGTTACGGAAGGTGACAGCCAACACCGCCATCTACTACGACCCCAACCCTCAGAGCACGGTGGTGGCCGAGGACCAGGAGTGGGTCAACGTCTACTACGAGATGCCGGACTTTGACGTCAGCCGCATCTCGCCCTGGCTGCTCCGCGTCGAGCTCGACCGCAAGCACATGACTGACCGCAAGCTCACCATGGAGCAAATTGCTGAGAAGATCAATGCTGGTGGGTCCACGGGTGGCACGCTGGGGGTCTTTGGGGGGTCCTGGGTGAGCCTTGAGGGTTTTTGGGGAGTCCTGGGTAAGCCTTGAGGGCATCTGAGGAGCTTTTGGGGTGGTCTTGAGTGAGCATGGAGGGCATTAAGGAAGAATTGGGGGTCCTGGAGGGCCTTTGGTGGGTCCTGGGTGAGCCTTGAGGGCATCTGGGGGGACTTAAGGGGATCCTGGGTGAGCATGGAGGGTCTTTGGTGGGTCCTGGGTGAGCCTTGAGGGCACCTGAGGAGCTTTTGGGGGATCCTGGGTGAGCCTTGAGGGTCTTTGAGGGGTCCTGGGTGAGCCTTGAGGGCACCTGAGGAGCTTTTGGGGGGTCTTGGATGAACATGGAGAGCATCTGGGGGGACTTTGGGGAGTCCTGGGTGAGCACGGAGGGCATCTGAGGAGATTTTAGGGGGTCCTGGGCGAGCATTGAGGATCTCTGGGGGGTCCTGAGTGAGCCTTGAGGGTCTTTGGGGGCTCCTGGGTGAGCCTTGAAGGCATCTGTGGAGCTTTTGGGGGCTCCTGGGTGAGCCTTGAGGGCATCTGGGGAGTTTTTGGGAGGTCTTGGGTGAACATGGAGGGTCTTTCAGGGGTCTTGAGTGACCCTTGAGGGCTTCTGGGGGGACTTCGGGGACCTTTGGGTGTTCCTAGGGAAGACTTGGGGGTTCTTGGTGACCCACCATGCTCCATGGTGACCTTTGGGGGGGTTCCTGGGTGAGCATGGAGGGTCTTTGGGGTGTCTTTGGGGGGTCCTGGGTGAGGATGGAGGGCCTTTGGGTGGCCGACAGGGTGGGGAGGTGACCAAGGTGCCACCCCCGTGTCATCATCGTGTCCCCCACAGGCTTTGGGGACGACCTCAACTGCATCTTCAACGATGACAACGCGGAGAAGCTGGTGCTGCGGATCCGCATCATGAACAGCGACGAGAACAAGATGCAGGAGGTGAGGACGGTGGCACCCATGGGTGGTGGTGGTGGTGGTGGGACACACGAAATGGGCTGGGTGTCACCCCCTTTGTCCCCTCCCCTCGGTGTCCCCAGGAGGAGGAGGTGGTGGACAAGATGGATGACGACGTCTTCTTGCGCTGCATCGAGTCCAACATGCTGACGGACATGACGCTGCAGGGCATCGAGCAGATCAGCAAGGTGAGGGCACCCATGGGTGCTCGTGGAGGTGCCGGGGCTGTTGGTGGGTCCCCAGGAGGACGTGAAGGTCTCCACGGGGACCTTTAGGAGATCAAGGGACACCCATGATAACACTGGTAGGCACCCAAGGAGGTCCATGGCTGCCTGGGGTGTCCCCCCGGGTGCTCAGGCAGCACCCGTGGGTGCTCATGTGCATGCCAGGGCTCTTGGTGAATCTTGGGGAGCACTTGGAGGTTCTCCATGGTGACCTTGAGGAGGTCCGGGATGCCCTTGGTGATACTTGCGGACGTGCGTGAAGGTCTCTGGGTGCCCGAGGTGTCCCCTCAGGCAGTTGGCTAGCACCCATGGGTGCTGATGTGGGTGCCCAGGCTCCTGGGGAGCACACGACCTTCTCCATCTGCACGTTTAGGAGGTCCAGAATGCTCATGGTGGTACTTCTAGATGCGTTTGAAGGTCCATGGCTACCCGGGACATCCCCTCGACCCACCCAAGGAGCACCCATGGGTGCTGCTAACCCTCTTTTCCCCCGGTAGGTGTACATGCACCTCCCCCAGACGGACAACAAGAAGAAGATCATCATCACGGAGGACGGGGAGTTCAAGGCTCTCCAGGAGTGGATCCTGGAGACCGACGGCGTCAGCCTG